TATTAAGTACTCACACTGGAAGCAGTCTTTGTCTTATTGTAAACAGATGGAAATCTGTCCTGTACATAACATACCTGCATGGGATTCACTTGGGAAGAAGTTCTGGATGCCATTTTTCTGCATGGGAAGAATTCCTGGGTGTGTTGTCCCTGCATGGGAAGCAGTGATGTATATCATATAAAAGAGTAGAAGCAGTTTTGGATACCCTGTACCTGAACAGGAAACAGTACTGGATACGATGTGCCTGAATGGGAAGCAGTCCTTGGTATTACGTACCTGCTTTGAAAGCAAACTTGGATACCATTTACTTGCTTGAACAAGCAGTCCTGGATGTCCATTTATGTACTCACATATGAAGCAGCCCTGGATGTGTGATATCCACATGGGAAGCAGTCCTGGATGTGTGATATCAGATGGGAAGCAGTCCTGGATGTGTGATATCAGATGGGAAGCGGTCCTGGATGTGTGATATCAGATGGGAAGCAGTCCTGGATGCGTTGTATCCAGATGGGAAGCAGTCCTGGATGCATTGTATCCAGATAGGAAGCAGCCCTAGATGCGTTGTATCCAGATGGGAAGCAGCCCTGGATGTGTGATATCCAGATGGGAAGTGGTCCTGGATGTGTGATATCCAGATGGGAAGTGGTCCTGGATGTGTGATATCCAGATGGGAAGTGGTCCTGGATGTGTGATATCAGATGGGAAGCAGTCCTGGATGTGTTGTATCCAGATGGGAAGCTGCCCTGGATGTGTGATATCAGATGGGAAGCCATCCTGGATGTCTGATATCAGATGGGAAGCAGTCCCTGGTATTATGTACCTGCAGGGTAAGCAGTCCTGGGTATGTTGAGCCCACCTGTCTCAAAGTCCTGCATATCATATATCAGCATTGGAAGCAGCCCCAGAAATCATGAGCCCTCATTGAAAGAGTCCTATATATCATATAAAAGCATGGGAAACAGTCCTGGATATCATGTACCTGCTTGGAAATCATTTCTGGATATCATGTAGATGCCTGAGTCATGTATCTCTATACAAAACAATCTAGATATTGGTACCTACCAGGGAAGAAATGCTGAATGTGGTGTACCTGCACAGTAAGAAGTCCTGCATATTAGACACCAGATTGGGAAGCAGTTTTGGATATCATGTACCCATATGAAGAGAAGTCCTAGACTTGTGGTACCCACATGGGACTGAGTCCTGGAATCTCAGATATTGTGTTCCTGCATGTGAGGAAATGCTGAATATCATACTCATTTGTGAGACGTGTTCCTTGCTATCAAGCACCCTCCTGGGATACAGTCCTGGATGTCACTGACTGCATGGAAAGAAGTCCAGTATGTCAAATATCCCCATGGGAAGCAGTCCAGGAAGGATATCATGTACTTGAATGGAAAGCAGTCCTTGTTAATCATATATCCACATGGAAAGCAGACATGAATATACTGTAACTGCATGGGAAGAAGTCCAGCATATCATTTATCAGGATGGCATTGCCAGGGGAGATTTCAAGAAAGCCTAATATTGACTCTGTCTTGTGGTCATTAATGGTCACTTTTATGCACTCTACAATGAAACAGAGAAAGCTAGACAACAAGAAATACAGAATGTGCAGGTTGAGGAGAAAAGGAGCACCAGAAAGTACAGCGGAGCTAAGTCTAGTACTTACAGAGATAGAAAGTTTAAAGAAAAGACTGGTGCTAAATGGAATAAAGGGAGTGATGATCTCAGGACAAGGTTCCACTTAGCTAAGGTTCCAACTTTTGAAAGGAATTAAAGAAAAACTTAAGCATTGAAGGAAATCATCAACAACAGAAAGCTAATGCAGTTGTAATTGAACTGGGGGACCATATTCCAGTCCCATCAAGCAACAGAACCTGGCAGCTTTGGCCATGTGGTTTTGGATTTAGAGTCAAGGATACAAGAAAGGGGTTATGCAATCTCCTTCCAAGGCTTAGGAAAACAGCTGAGGCTAGGCGTGTGTCAGGGTCCAGAGAGATCTTTGTTTGAAGCTGTGAAGGTGAAGAAGCCATTGGAGAGGCCAGAGCCATGGGTTACCTGCCAAGGAAAGCTGTATGTCTTGTGTAGAAGCATCCAAAGAGAGAGAGAAGTGTGTTGCTATCAACAAAGCTGAAAGAAGGAACAATGAGATCTGAAGAGCACTCTGACATCAGACATGGAGATGCAGAGTTTGGAGTTTTCTCTCCTAGTTTTTGGTCTTGCTTTGGCTCAGCATTTCCTCATTATACTCACTTTCCTCCCTTTTGGACTGTATATTCTGTGCCATTGCATGATGGAAGTTTGTGGTCTGCTTTTTTAATTTTATTTTACCAGGAGTTACTGCTAAGGGATTACCTTGAGTCTCAGAAGAGACTTTGAACTTCAGGCTTTTAAACAGTTTTGAGGCTGTTCTTAGACTATAGGGACATTGGAAGTTGGACTAAATGCATTTTTTATGTTATGATATACAAGCTTCATGTGGCCAGAGAGCAGAATGTAGTGATTTGAATAAGAATGTCCCCCATAGGTTCATATGTTAATTCTCAGGGAGTGTCAACACTTGAGAAGGATTAGGCGGCATGGCCTTGTTAGTGTCACTGTGGATAAACTTGTCAAAACCTTTCAAAAGTCCAAGCCAGGTCCAGTGTCTCTCTCTTCCTACTGCTGGCAAATTTAGTTGTAGAATTCTCAACTACTTCTCCATCATCATGTCTGCCTGCATACTGCCAGCCCACTGTGATGATAGTGGACTAAAGCCCTGAAACAGTAAGCAAGCCCCAGTTAAACACTTTCTTTTATAAGATTTGCCATGGTCATGGTGTCTGTGAACAGTAATAGAACACCAAGACAGAAGAATCCTCGGACACTGGTAAACACATGTAGAGAAGTACTTGATATCTTGCACCCATGTAGGAAGCAATCCTGGACATCATGTACCTGTCTGGGAAGCAGTAAGGGATATTGTGTTCCTGCATGGGGGAGCATTCCTGGATATCAGGTTCCTGCATGAGAAGCAGTCTTGGTTATGTTGTACCTGCAGAGAAAGCATGTACATATTTTGTACATGCATGGCAAGAAGTCCTGGATAACATGTACCCATAAGGGAGCAGTTCTCGATATTAGCACCCACGTGGGAAGAAGTCCACATGTAGCAGCATGGGGGGGGGCAGTCTTGCATATTATATAACCACATGGGAAACAGTTTAGAACGTCTCATGTACCATTATTGGAAGCAGCCTTTGATACGTGGAACTCATCTGGGATGATGTAGCTACATGGAGGAAAAGTCCTGGATAAGAAATACTCACATGGCAATACATCCTGGATATTATGTACCCACATGGGACAAAGACCTGAATGTCATGTACCCACATCCTGGAAATGTTGTTTCCACTTGGGAAGTAGAAGCCATGGACATCACGTACTTACACAGGAAGGAGTCCTGGATATTATATATTCACATGTGATGAAGCCTGGAAA